GGAGGGGAGAGGGGAGGGGAGGGAAAGGAAGGGTATTAGCCCTGACCCTGCTGGAGGTGCCCAGAAGAGCCCCTGCTTTCCCTGAGAAGGGGGTTTGCCCTTGCCCCCTTCTTACTCCATCTCAGGGTGAGGGGCTCCAGCAGCCCCTCGTGCTGCATATGGCACGTGTATCTCTGCTCCTCTCCAGAGGGCACCACCATGGTGGCCCGATTCTGGAAGGTCCTGCTCCCCGAAGGCCTGGTCTCCACAAGCTCTGTGTCCTGGGTCTGGTCCTCCCTGTCCTGCTGCCAGGTCAGTGTGATCTCCACAGGGCCCAGCACCTCAGCGTGACCTCACGGTCAGAGATGGGGTGGTGGGTCGCATATGTCTCTGGGGGATCTGAGAGGAAGGGTCAGAAAATTTAGGAACTTTCCATTACCTCCCAGAGGCCACCTGAGCAGGGCTTGTGTGACCATCCTGAGAATGAACAGGACAACTTGGGTGGGCGGATGGAGAGCAAAATCCAAACCCCAGCCTGGACCCAGGAGTGTAGAACAATCTCCTATTCCTTGGAAAGTTCTATAATTTGAGTGAGCCCAGGATAACACGCTCTAGGTCTCTGAGGGGAAGAACAGGGACTTCTGGTCCTGACCAGAGAGACTCAGAAAAGCTAGAGTCAGACCTCCAAAGAGGTTGGGTGTTTGGGTGTGGGGCAGAGAACAAGGCCTGAGAGAGAAAGTCCCCCGTGGTTCCCAAGGCCACTGACAAGTTCAATGGGAACTGTCGATCAGTTATTTTAGGAATCATCTCCCCCTCCATCCCCAGCGGCTGCATCCCTTAATTGTCCCTGAGACCCTTAGCGGTGCTCTGATCAAGTCACTCTCTGGTGCAGGATCTGGAAACTTGGGTGGACTCCTCCCTCTCCCGACCCACGGGAGGTGGGTATTCTGGCGCTGATACCATTTTTCTCTTCTCCTTGTGTGACACCAGCTGGGGAAAGAGTCCCAGCCTGAGAGATCAGGAAGGTGTCCCGCGGCCCCTCTTACCTGCTAGCTGCAGCGTCTCCTTCCCTTTCTCCAGGCATCTGCAGAGCAACTCCACACTCTCACCCTCCAGGTAGGTCCTGACGTGCTCCGCCACACTGGCCGCCTCCCACTTGCACCGGGTGATCTGAACAGCACTGTCTGCCGCTGTCCAGGAGCGCAGGTCCACATTGAGGGTGATGTAATCGGCGGCATTGTAGGCGAGCTGATAGTACCCCCGGAGGAAGCGCCGGTAGGACCCCACTTCGCAGCCAAACATCTCCGGGTTGGTGTGAGACCCTGGCCCCGCCCCCGAGGTAAGCCCCGCCCACTTAGCACCGCCCCCTGTTATATCTAAGGGCGGTGATTGGTCAGGGTCCCTTTCAGCCTAAACTAAAAGCCAGAGCTGAATCCTCACGGATTTTCCCTGATCGAGGTGCCAGGCGGGTTCCACCGCCTCTGCGTGGAGTTGGGACCCGGAGACTCGGGACGACCCGAGGGGACTCGTGACCTGACACCCGGGCCCGGCGTCACTCGCTGGCGTCGCTCTGGTTGTAGCAGCCGCGCAGGTTCTGCAGGCCCACTCGGTAATACTGTGCGTTGTCCTTGGCAATCCGTGTCTGCTGGTCCCAAAACTCCAGCCCCTCCTGCTCCTCACGGTGCCAGTGGCGCCATCCTCGGATTCGCGGCGTCGCTGTCGAACCACCGGATCTGCGTGTCGTCCATGTAGCCGACAGCGATGTACCAGGGCTCCCGGTGGCCGGGCCGGGACGTGGCGGTCTGTAAATACCTCAGGGAGTGGGAGCTTGGGGGCGAGGAGCGGCTGAGACCACCGACCCCCCTCCCCGCGGAGGGCCCGGATCTGGGGTCGATGGGGGCAAGGAGGGGTGAGGGGCTCGTGGATAGAGAAGCGGCGGCAGGAGGAGCAGGGCCGGGACGTAGGGGCAGGAGACTGGGGCGGGGGATCCGGACAAGGAGCTGGGAGGGGTGTCAGGGCGCGGGGGAGGGGACGCGGCTTCCCCGAGGGTCCCGGGTCCCCGTTGGGCGGTCCCCTCACTCCTCCCTCCACAGAGGCCATTAACCTCCCGACCCTGCACTCACCGGCCCGGGTCTGGGTCAGGGCCAGGGCCCTCGAGAGCAGCAAGAGGAGGGTCCGGAGCGCCATGACCCTGACCCTTGGAGTCTGGGGAGAATCTGAGTCCCCGCCGAGACATGTGGACTTTAAAACTGGGAACCACGATGACGCTGACTAGCTTCTCCAGAAACCGGATACCCAATGGGAATGAGAACTGGGGTCTCGTCGTGTGTGTTTCGGCAGAAGAACACGCATTGTGACACAAATTGTGAGGGAGAAGTGAAACTCATCCCTAAGTCCCCGCCCTTCTTCTGTCGCTCCTTCTCCCTCTCAAGATTCCTAACGCGCCGCTTCCCCACCACAGTCACTGCCCTCAAAGTTTGAGACCCTGAAAGCCGGGACCTGGGACTTTGCCCTGACCCCTCTGCTCCTGCACCAAGGACTCTTTGTCACACTAGCTCCCTGAATCCTCCCCCAAGGCTCTCTGAGGAAACAAAGAGGAACCCTCAGGCTGGGCCTAGCCCTTTTCCTCCTCTTCCCTTCCCTGAATACCTCCAGCCTCCCACCTCTTACCTTTCCCCCAGACTCATCTACAGGAAAACTCACTCTCAGGGAATTTGATACCAGAGAGTGAGCCCTGCCCCCCTCCAGAATGGAGGTGCAGAGGTAGGGGTTTCATCTTTAAACCTGGGAGAAGTTGTACCTGAAGCCATCAGACAGAGATTTCCACTGAAACCAGGGTTTCCTTTTTGTTTATTAACTACAGTGGGTAACTCAGATAACCCTGAACCATAAGGAATCTAATCTGGAATAGAAGTGATTTTGGCCCTTTTATGTATAAATGTGTCTGAAAGGCAGTGCAGTCAGGCTCACAAAGCTCCTAGTTTTGCTTTCCCAAACAACGTATCTGCGACTCCAGGACTGTTGTCTGTTAAAATTATCTTCATTTCATAGTCCTGAGTTTGCCTGTGTGCATCCCAGGCATATCCTCAATACAAAGAAGCACATGAAAGCACAATTTGTTACTGTATATTTCAACCAGGAGAGTGTACAAACTTTAAGTACCTCAAAGTTGTGTGGGAAAAAAAAATAAAACAGGTATCTTACTCTGATTGCAAGGGCTTTCTTTTACCCCCGAGCTCAAAATTAACAGTAAAAGCCTGACTCAAAACTGCAAAACTCAAGAACTGCTAACTACTCTGCAGCCCTAAATTTGTCTTTTCCAGCTCAAAAAGGGTAGTCAGTTAAAAACCCATTACCTCATGACTTAAAGGAAAAGACTGTGTGCTTCCTTAATTTTAATTTCAAGAGGTCACAGAGCTACAAATCCATAAAAGACCAAATTTTCAGGAATTACTTTTTAATGCTAAATCAATAACTGGCAAGTACTTTGTCACCATGGAAACTTCTATTCATTGGGCAGGAAAAAAAAAAGATAATCTGTATTTAAACTTCTATAAAATCTCTAGTCTGTCGGAGTATTTGTCTTTTTGCAGGGAAAGGCGATTCCCCAACTTGCAAAATGTTTATTGAATCATACAGCCATGAGTTAATCCAAAGCTTTCCAGGATTTTTTGCTTGTTTTGTTTTCTTTCTTTCTTTTTTTTTTACAATCATAACTAGCCTACTTTGAGCCACTTCTCTTTAGGAACCAAATGATCTCCCTGCACATATACAGATTAACTGCTCAAATGAACCTTATGTTTTAATTTCTTTGTGTTTTGATTATTTTAACAGATTTTGATGTCAGAGCTGGGACCCAGAGAAGACCACCAAGAACCCTTCGCTGCTGGAAGAGATCACGAGACAGGTACCCATGAAGGCCCTTTGTATACTCAATTGTTCACTCACCATGACCCAGGAACTTGGTAAATCTCTCCTGGGTTTGAGCTCCACTCCTTTCGTGTTGGAGCTCTGTGGGTTTATATCTAAGCAGTTTTGAGTGTCTTTTCCTTGGTAAGTCACTCTTTTGTTCTTTCTATTTGGGGTAAGATGCATCAATCTCTGTGCCTTCAGACAGCAGTTTAACAGGGACCTCAGTTTAAATGTAGCTGTTTTAAGATTCTATCATGGGCTCTTTCTTTCCCACTCCAGAGCTGCAAGTTTCTTAGAAGTGGGTTGACTATACCAAGGACTGAATTTACAGTGGCCACTTTGAGGAACTTCTGTTTTGTGATTGATTCCTATTTAAAGTATTTGAACACTCTCCTTTATTAGGTTCAAGGGAAATTCGATTGGGTCCAATGAGGAAAGTTCGACTGGGTCTGACAGAGGCCTCAGGTAGTTTTTAAAATGGGTGCAGCCGGCTCCAAAGAGTCTGGGACCCCTCCATCTGAGACTCTAGCAAGTTTATATGTTTAAAAATTGTGGATTCAGAACCCGTTTTTCTTTCTGTCGAAATGGGTCAGTCTTACCAAGACAACATGGAGTTGCACTTTAGGGAACTGGATTCTCATTTCTTTGTTTTCTGTTGTGCTGTCTAGGATTGTTGACTGTCATAAAAAGGAGAATCATAGGGTAGAACGCAGGCATTCCTCCGTCTCGTTTTTGTCCTAAGAGCTTGGCTTTGAGAGTGTTCTGTCTGATTTTTCCACCTGCTGTCATGTTGGGTGCCCCAGACCAACCATTGTCAGCTACCATGAGGTTAAGTCTTAATTCTTTTCTCTTAAAATTGCTTCCTACGTGTTATCTTCGTTCTTAATTCTTGCACCTATCTTTCTAAATGGAAAATTTCACTAAGGATGATTTCAGCCTTCATAAGGTACTTTGGGAAATTTTTTGATATAAATTGGTTCATCTGAAAAAAAATAAAGGTATGGATTGTTTATTTTGATTGGTATAATGAGGCTTAAGAAAGGTAAAATTATTCTAAAATTGCTTCTCTAAAATATTTTTTAGAAGCGTGCAAAAATCAAGGTTAAACTCTGACTTCAGGAGGAGCAACTGTTTGTCCTTCAGCCCGTATCTGTATATGTATATATGTCTTGTCTTTATGTTTATGTTATGTTTGTATATGTAATACTTTCCTACCTCTGGATGATATTACCAAATAAGATTATAATATCCCTTCAAGGAGCTTTTATTCTGATTGGTTTAGAGATAAATAAGAACTTATATAAATTGAGTATTCCTAAAAGTCCTCGAAATTAAGGAAATTAAACCTCAAATTCTTTCAGTGTTAAAAAGAGTTATTATAGAAACTAACCCAAAAACTTTTTAAAAATTGAATTTCACACAATTTAGATAAATCTTTGGCTAACTAGGCTAATTTAATAATTCTAGTTTTGATAAAAACAACCATGGTTTCTCTGAGTTACCATTTTAAGCATAATATAAGCATACATTTTATTCTACTTGAGTATACTTTTCCTAACTTATACAAGTTTACTGATAGAACAAGATAGCATTACTTCTGCTAAATATTTAAGATTATGAAAAATATAAATTTGTGCTTAACCAAATTGTATCATAATTCTGACAAACTTTATTTCAATGGCAATTATGTTTTGTGGTACATAGGCATTAAGATAATTTCCAAGGTCTTTAGGTATCTTAAAACCTGGAACTAATGCTAAACCCAGTTAATTAATGGATATTCATTATAATTTAAGTTTATATACTTTTACTTTATATTTTTATATGCTACAGAGAGGATATATATCTGGGTCTGCTAATGAATGTGTTTGTTTCTTGCCACTTTAAAGCTTGTAGTAATAAGAGATATGTGGTAAAGACAGGAAATCTTACGAAGTTCATATAAAGAGGATTTTGTTGTGATCAAAGCTCGCTGAAGTTTGATGGTCTTATTTATAAGATATTTAAAGAGCTTTAGCTAAAGTTCTTTAAATATCAAATAGTATATATAAAGCTAAAATTTGATTTTCTCTCTGTTAAAAATGACAAAATTTTCTTTAATTGCTTGACTGTTATTTGTAAACAGCAATAAAAGGTTCTCTTTATCTTCTGCATAACCCACCTGGAAGGGAGGGATTCTGTGTGTTGTGTTGACTTTATCATGTCTGTGATTGTTTAAGAAAACCAAGCCTCCTCACTTTTGAAAAAGCTAAGGTTTTTACCGTTGTGTTCCTGTAGTCCAGTACATTCAGAGCTCCTCTAACTTCAGGGAGAACAATGAGAGTCACCTTCAGGATCAGCCCAAAGATGATTCCTATGTGGTAGAGGTCAGATATACCTCCACTCTCCAACCTTTTTACCAATTCTGACA